ACTCACTCAGAGGCAAGGGAGCCTGTGAGTTAGCATCAGATACTGGCTGTCAGTTAAGAGGAACCATTCAGAAGAGTAGTTGAGGTGGATTCTTATGTTTCTAATCTCAAGGACTCTAAAGAGAAAAATAAACTATTTGGTGTATTTCCTATGCAAACTTCAAAGCAGCATGTTTGACAGAGTATTAGAAAAGATAAGTAAAAGTAAACGTCATCCACCTACATTAAGTCATTTGACTATAATTAAATAAAGAAATCATTTGGCACTTTCCCTACCCCAGTCAGAAAGAGAGCGGAATGTATTGACCACTCAGGGTAGTTTATCCAGAAAAAAAGTGGTATGCATGATCCCATTTCAAAGTAAATTCAGGTTAAATCTGGTGCATAACCTTAATATGCATCATTTTTTCCTTCTTGTGTTTCAAATAGATCTCTAAAAATCAAACATCCCTCAGTGTTTTCTTACCATGTAGACTCTGCCCCTCATTCTGAATAATATTGCATATGAATTGTGAATAGATTAATTTCAAACTAACCCTAGCAATTATTTGATTACAATTATTCCATGAACAATCTTTTGGGCAACTTCTAGCATTAACCGAGCTAAAACTGAATCCTGTAGTTGTTTAGATGGCCTTGATGCCTAAATTCAAGTCTACAAAAGCAAAGTGGCACACAATTCTCAGCCAAAATTGAGGGCAGCATTTGCCTCTGCTCCCCTTCAGAATGAGATGCCTGATAAAAGAACTCAAGCCAAATGACAAGATCCTGGGCACAGTCACGTAGGTGCCTCTGCATGAACAATCAAACGTCTTCCTAGGACTCTCATTCAGAAGTTAAAATATCCCGTCTATTGCCCAGTGCATGTTGGGAATAAAAGGCTGTTCTGATCCATAGATCCAATGGGATGTCTGATAATTGAAAGAAATTCAGGCAGAATTAAAAGACTATACACACAGACCGACGTTGTGGCCATGCATGAACAACCAACACAATCTATTGCCATATACTTATTGGGGATGAAGCTGCTCTAACCCAAACAAAAAGCAAACCCATCGCTTACATAAATTCAGATACCTATAAAGTTGCCTTTCATATGAAACTTTGGCAAGAACTGAATTTAAGTAAATACAACCCCATACCCCCTACTGACCACCCTTTGACTCTCTAATGCGCAGAGTTCTTTGCTCTGTGGATTATCTGCTGAGGTTTAAGGCAATCTGCATTTTCCCGTCAGTTCTCACTGCCTTGGCCCTGGTTCAATTCCAATTTAAGGAAATACTTGAAATACTGTCTCTTTTGGTAGCACGCAAACACTCCAGGAATTTGATGCTTTCCAGAATAAGCCATGCTTGTTATATAAGTCCAATCAAAGACACACTTTCAGAACAGAACAAAAGGGATTAGATCCGCTTCAGTTTCAACTGTCTAAAGAGAGTTCTCAGTCATGGATTTGTTAATGGCTTTTGTGCAAATAATGGAAATGGAATCATGCATTTTTATTAGTCACCCAAGAAGCTTTTGGGTTTCAGGTTCTGGGGCGGGGGGGGCGAGGGGAAGGGACGGGGGCTCCATCACTTGGCTCTTAACAACTTGGAAAACATCTTGCCTGATTAGGAAGTTAGTCATTTCACATGTTGACATGTACAACAGTGTGAAGTCGAAAAACCTCACAGATTTCATTTGTAAGTAACAGGATACATCACTTTAAAGATGAAACGCTCAAGGATTTGTGGCGCCTCTCTTTGTTCCTGCTAATCCGATTTTACTTTTGGAGTGTCAGATATTTTGTAAATATATGCAGTTGAATTCAAACCACAAATTTTGACAATCCGTTCTCTAACTCACTATAAAAAGCACTATTCTGGTTTATTGGTAGGTGTTGGACTCTGAGAGCCCAACCTTTGAGACAGATTTAATATTTCACCAATCAGTAGTGTTCCAGTCCAAGCCCTCTCTTGTCATTCAGTTTTAAAACTTAAAACAGTTTTAAACATAAAGTGTTCTTGGAAAGGAGTGAGAAAAGAGAATTTGGGGAATGTCCTTGCAGTCCTCAGTTTCTGGAGAATGTTTATCCCTTCTTGTTTTAGCCTTGGTCACAGACATCCCCTGAGGGTTTTCCTTTCCATTTATTTTCTCCATTTAAGGTTAACATATTAGGAGTTTTGCTACTGAGAGAGTAAAATAAATAGTTTGACTGAGCTTTCTCAAGCCTCCTGCATTGACCACTGCCTCCTCCTGGTTCACTGGCCTCCGTCTCTTCAACAGGTGGTGTGCAGGCTACCAGCAGAGCTTCTTGGTGATGTGGCATATTTGTCTGAGGAAGCTGAGGGGAGGGGAGGAGGGGGGAGGAGCTGTTAATTTGTACGCACTGAAATATAAGAGATCAGTTTCCCCCAATCACATTTTAACGTCAATTGGCCTATGAAATCTTATTGTGAACTCCTCTGGAAAATCATGGTACTAGGTGTTCGGTTCCATATAACAGTGAAGACAATTGGGTGATATGAAAGCACTACAAAACAAGAATAGCATCTGAATTGTTTTCCGTTTATAACTCTAAGATTAAATTGGGGTGAATATCAGCACTGTGATGGTATTCATTCTTTATGTTCATTACCCTCGTCCTCATTGAGTACCAAGGTATCAGTTAATTCAGTCTAGTCATCAAAGGTAAAATCCTCTTCCCCTTGGTTCATAATTATACCTCATATCTTTTAGGTGCATTTTTATGCTACTTTTTCTTTGTATAATTTTCCCTTTTATTTCAATAGGCAAATTCAGCCTCTTCCTTTCACAGTATAAGCTCTGTAAAAAATCAATAGTATAGTCCATGTTTCAAAATTGTCACAAAATATATTTTCCAATCAATTTGCAAAAATTCATAGGCCAAAACAATTGACTGAATAAGCCAAGTATGATTTTTATAAGAAACAAAAAAAGAAACAGATTTAAATAGTCATTTGAAATAATACACATTTCCAAAATAGTAAAGTATAAATTAATAAAATCTGAAATTCCAACAATGCTATAATCTCCCTCCAACAATAGCTGCTAAATATAAGTAAAACTGCTCTAGATAAATGATGAAGATGAAACCATCTGGTGAAAACTGGTTACATTTAGGGACTTAATATCAAAAAAAATTAAAGTCCCTGGAAATAAGTAATTCTCTAGTAAAGCATTGGAAATCTGACTAGAAATAGCTCCCTAATTATGACTACTTTCATGCTATTTTATTTCACCATTTCTTTCCCCACCCTGGGAGAAAAAATGGGTATCATCATATTTAGCTGGTGTTTGCATTTTAGCTTTATTAGAATTTCACAGTAGTAATGAACAAAACTCAGCTTTCTAACAGGGGTGAACTGCAATGGCCATGTTGGAAGAGAATGATAGATGGTGAGCAGAGCAGAGCACATGAGGACAGGAGAAACATTCTGAAAGGTAGAGAGGGCGAGAACCAGGCAGGCAGACAAGAAAGCCAAAGAAGCTCATTTGGTGCCCTTTACGGATTGAAGAAAAACATATTTATCGACAGTCTTTTTTGACAAATCATGACAGATTATTTCATTTCAACATTATCCCCACTCATCCACAAAGTATAAAAAAAATTTAAACTATCAGATGTTAAGAGTGCTAATATACATGGCAACTTAGAGTGGTGTTGGGGAAGTTCATGTCCATCCGACAGTAGGCCCTAGCCATTAGCAACGAATGAGTGGCTGGGATTAAACATCTCCAGAGAGCTCTTGCTCTTGTAAGGTTTGCTTCCTATGAGAGCATGTTCCTCCTCTTTGGTCTTCGGGTGTGGATAAGTCAGAAACTCTAAAAATGGGCTAAGACGATATGACAGGGAAAGAACTAAGTCATCTCATACGTCATAAAATAATACTCAACATTAAAAAATGTTTTTCTACAATAATTGTTCTGCAAACATTTTATTTATTTTTTAATATATTTTATTGATTTTTTACAGAGAGGATGGGAGAGGGATGTAAAGTTTGCTTCCTATGAGAGCATGTTCCTCCTCTTTGGTCTTCGGGTGTGGATAAATCAGAAATTCTAAAAATGGGCCCAGGCACATGCCCCTGACCGGAATCGAACCTGGGACCCTTCAGTCCGCAGGCCGACGCTCTATCCACTGAGCCAAACTGGTTGTTCTGCAAACATTTTATTAAAATGTATATTTTTAATTGATTTCAGAGAGGAAGAGAGAGAGAGAGAATCATTGATCAGCTGCCTCCTATACACCCACTACTGGGGTTCAAGCCCACAACCCGGGCATGTACCCTGACTAGGAATCGAACTGACCTGGATCATAGGTCGACGCTTAACCACTGAGCCACACCAGCCAGGCTGCAACCATTTTTAATGACTTAATCTCAATTGTTATCCATCAAACACTTCACTGGAAAAAGCCACAGTATCTGATACTGACACAGAAATGGGTTTTGTAGTAACCATTTATTTCCTGCATCTTAAAAAAAATAGATAAATCTCATCTTCCTTGGCTATTGGTTCAAAATATATATTAAATACATTAAATATTCTCTGGTAATAGATTGATCCAGTAATAAATTGAATATAATAAATTGAATAATATGTTAGATTTCAAAGTTCCTGGGTATATTTTAAAACTCTGAAAGGTGACACTTTATAACTAATGATCTCTTCAGGCTTAAAGAGCAAAACCTTTTAGTTATAAATGCTTATGAGAGAAATTGAATTTTTTAAAGTGAGAGCTTTTCTTCATTTTCACCCACTAATGGTCACCATCAAATAAAAACTTAAGTTTATGGTTATGAGCATAGGACTAATAATAACTGAAATTTAACTTCAATAGAATTATAGATTCTGCCCACCTTATTAAGCCCTGATTTAAATAAGACTAATGATAATGAGATATTAACTCACAGGTACACCAAAAACCAGTCACACATTATGATATTTTGTTCCGCGCGCTAATGAACAAATTAAAACCTCATTTTTTTTCTACAGGAAAACTGAAGACTTTAATAACAAACCCTCCACGGTCACAATGAATACAGGTATGCCGTCTCTCTTAGTTTTAACCTTTTCAGCCCTGCTCTCTACCACACCATCTTGGCCCTAAATCATTAGGTTAGCACTCTGCTGATTCAAATGTGGTCCTGAGTTTCTGATTAGATGGATAGTGTACACTCATTACTCAATGTCTTTGTCTTTATGTTCTAGTCTTACAGCAATCAAAAGTAGAATTTTTGGTTTTATCTACTCTTACTCAATTTTTTTTCTGTAAATCATGTCTTGAAATTAACTCCTATGTACCCTAGGAAGAGGTGGAATGTCATTTGCATGTATACATTTGAAATTCTTCTTAGAATAGGCTTAATTCAAAGGCAGGTTGCTCTAGTGAAAAACATTTAAAGTTTCCCATTATAAACCCTTATGTTGACAGCCAGCAGACAGTGCCAAAGCTTCTTATGAAATCAGCTTAATTAATCCATACACACAATACACCTAAAGCAATGGTTCTCAACCTGTGGGTCGCAACCCCTTTGGCAGTCGAACGACCCTTTCACAGGGGTCGCCTAAGACCATCCTGCATATCAGATATTTACATTACAATTCATAACAGTAGCAACATTACAGTTATGAAGTAGCAACGAAAATAATTTTATGGTTGGGTCACAACATGAGGAACTGTATTTAAAGGGCCAGAAGGTTGAGAACCACTGACATAAGCATTAGATTTTTAGATGTGAGAACAGTATCTCCAATTAGCTTAACAACATGGGTGCCTCTGAACTCTGTATTGTATACAGATTAATTGTACAGTCTTTGTGATACATGCTATGTACATGAATTTTTTTCCATAGTAGAAATGTTTTCACATACATTTTCACCTTTTCTCCCCTGAAATCTTTATATTCGATCATAAGTAATTCTGGAAAACAACTTTCTCACTGAAATTTTGTAACTTGTGTTTAAAAAATACTGTTTCCTATCTGCAAGCAATCACTGGAAAGTTTGCTGTCTCTTGTTATCAGGGGAGGATTAGCAACCACTGGTGAGAACCAGTCTCTAATCCCTAGATCAAGTGTAGACACATGCCCCATGCCCCGTGATGCTGTGGCTGCCCCTTAGCAGAAACCTGCCCTAACTGACCTCTACACCCTAGGTCAGCTGGCCCCTGTGAATGTCGACAACTCATAGATATGTAGAGCAACAGGCAAGACAAGGATATTGGAGACAGTCAAAATATACAAGGAAGACTTAGAAACCCAGATAAATTATAACCCCGGAGATGAACCAAGTAAAGGCATTTGGATAATGGGAAGTGTGGGAATTGGACATGGGAAATAGAAGGAATAGTATTAGGTAAAGGAGATTGAAGAAAGCAAATAGAATAGATAGCTCGGAGCTGAACTAGGATAAGTCATGTTGTGAAACTGCAGTCAATGCAGCAGAAAGTCCACAGGAGGAGGTTATATTTCCACAATTAATAATAACAAAAAGGCATTGATTTCCATATTCATTCTGAGACATCTTCTCATGGACTTAAGTTGACTTAAGACATAACTTCCCAATATCCTTCACCTTGTGGAGTGCTGACTTCTATTTATTATAACCCTATCATGACAGATGTATAATATGTGATTAAATAATTAATCCTCCTGTGCATAGACTTCAACTCTAGAGGCAAAGTAGGCAAATAGACATTTGTATATTTGTTTAGGTTGTTAGGGTACTTGAGCCAGGTGTCTGTTATAGTAGCATGAATATAATCCTCTAAAGCAGTGGTTCTCAACCTTCCTAATGCCACGACCCTTTAATACAGTTCCTCATGTTGTGGTGACCCCCAATTTCATTGTTACAAGTTGAACATAATTAAAGAATAGTGATTAATCACAAAACAATATGTAATTACATATGTGTTTTCCGATGGCCTTAGGCGACCCCTGTGAAAGGGTCGTTCAACCCCCAAAGGGGTCGCGACCCACAGGTTGAGAACCGCTGCTCTAAAGCATCCTCTCATGTAAAAGGAGCTTGGCTCCATGTAGAATGCTAATTTGCACAGCTATTTTATTTATATGGGCGAACCTATATGTACATATGCATGTAAAATATGATATTCAAACTTATGCACACAAAATTGGTAAGAAGTGACAAACCCTTTATTTAAAATTCCAGACTAAGACTATAGTGCTATTATAAAAACATGCCACTTTTTAATATATGTGTAAATATTGCTGTAGGAAGGTGAAGAAAGCATTGTTGCTATATCTACAAAATGAAAAGTTAGTACTGAAATATAACACATCAAATTAGTCTTCGTTATCTACCTACTAATCACTAAAGACATATATTACTATTTAAATACCTATGTGTCAGTCACTGAAGTTAAAAAAAAAGATTATTTTCAAGCAAAGCAGCTCTTTGTTTTAGTCAAATACTAAATGAGGCAGAGGAAATGTGTTCATTTTTTACACTAAAGTCTCTGAACAATGTATAGAAATATGTACAAAACATGCTATATTCCCACTCTAAGAATCTGTGACCCATTATTTTCTAAGGCAAATCTTAGCTCTGGAAGAAAGGAAAGAGAGAAAGACATGAAGTGATTCATTGTATGTGCTTTACCCATGGGTGTTTTCAGCAGTGGAAACAGCTCCCAAGAATCATGCATCTGGGAGGAAGAGGTGCAAGTCATTCATGACTAGGTGAAGGTGAGAGTGGCACTAGGGTTCTTCAGAACGACCTAAAGCATGCAAGACAGATCCTCATTTTGAGATCTTAAAAATATCCTTAAGAAAGCATCAACACGCGAGTAAATAGAAATGAGATAGGAGAGATTTCTCTGTTCCAGCAATGTCACAAATGCCTCAACTTTTCTAATTAAGCTCCTTATTAAACTGTTAATAAAGATAGATTCTCCATTTATTTCATCTAGGTCTTAGAGTGCCTTAGACTATAGATGTCATTTAATCCAGAGGTTCCTACACTCTCAGGCCAAAAGAAATACCCAACAGTTCCATTTATTAATTATCTAGGGGCAAACAACTTAATAAGTACTTATATTCTGTCAACTCAGAAGCAATTTGAAAAAATAATACACTTAAATTGGAAAAATAATCATTTTATTTTGTTCTTTATGACTGCAGTTAATAACTAAGGGTTTATTGGGTACTGCAAAACCCCGCAGACCTTGCAGACCTTGAACTCAGATTGTACATCACCAGTCTCATTTACTGCCCAAAATTACTTTCATAGGCTACTTGCCTTTTTATCACAAAAACCCAACTTTTCAAAGATATAATATCATCTAAAGGAAGACAACACAAGCTTTATTATGGTGAAACTGGAAACTAACTCAGGCTAGTAGTTCATGCAGTATCTAATAGATACCACTGAGTTTTCCTAAAAAATGTAAATATCCCTCAAAACCCTCATGAATCAACTGAGGTGGCCGGGGCACCTCAGCACAGTTTGGGAACCATAGGTTTTACCAATGACCTTGAATCTTCTCATTCTGAAATCCCCCCTTTTTATCGTTCTCACTGCTTGTCTTCAGATGTTCAGAATTAATAGAACTAGAACATAAAATCTCTTCAAGAGCCATCAGTTTACTTGTATGTGTAGACCCTTGACTACACAACCCTGTTCGACCATCAAAGCTGCTACAACCACATATTCCAAAACATTACCTCCATTTATCAGAAACTCTCATCCCTCACAGCTATTTTCAGTTTGCAGAGTTTGCTGTATCCCATTGTTGCCTCCCTTAAAGACATCTTCAGTTGTATGCTTCCACCATTTATGTCTTTTTATGTTGGGTCTTTGAATTATCGTCTTTGATTTATTTGACTTTCTTATGTTGTTTCATTTTTCTATTTTAATTATTATCTGCATTAGAAAACTGTTATTTTAAATATATTTAAGAAATTGTATTTTGATGTGAAGACAATTCCACCAATTTTAAGGTCTACTGACCTTAATACTTGTGATCTTACCAATAATTAGTTCCAATCATACTTCCAAGCATTAAGTTCCTTCATGTTTAGTAAACAAAGTGGATAATTCTTTTAAAGAAATAAACAAAAAGTATAACTGTCTAATCACTACATTGTACACCTGAAACTAATATAATATTGTATGTTAACTGTCACTGAAAAATTAAAAAAAATATTAAAAAATAAAAAAGAATGAGAATAGCATGTGCCAATATATAATGATTTATGTTATCATATTGCTGGTTACATTATTTGTCTCTCTTGTTATAACTTTAAAAGAGAATTAAACTTTGGTTATTTTGGTTTCAGGGGAATGAGAAAAACTATTTATTGCACATTCCATATACAAAGGAATGTGGGAATGGAATTGGAATCTGTTCATAAATAGAACATTAACCTTTCAATTTTAGAAGTCTTGTAACTCGAAACTTATATCACATTATAATAGTTGGTACCTTTTCACTTACTTTACTTCATGTTGATATTTGTGTAAGTGTAAATAGGTAGATCATCATGTACATGTTCAAAACTATAAAACCAAATTAATTTTTAGCCTGGTCACTTCAATACTCTATGTGTCAATATTGTCTTGATTTCAACTAGGCTAATTATTTCCGTAACTTATAGTAACTATGGGAAGACATAGAATTTCCATAATGCTATATTTCTCTTTAAGAATCCCGTATATCAAATATATCATGGCTATATCTGTTAACAGCATTTACTTCCAACCATCTTCAGGATTCATAATAGCTAAAACACAGTCAGCCTAAATGATGGCTACAAAAGTATATTATATTATGGCTCTTAACCCTAAAAGAGCACTTATTCATAACTCTAAAAGCTAGTTACTCTGCATAAAAATTTAACAGTTGAATGAAAAAGGTATAAACAAAGTTGAGTTTTATACTTTTATGTTTTCATTAAAGAAAAACCATAAAATGTTAAGTAAATCTTTTTTAAAAAAATTTTTTATTAAAGCATTGGCATCTGTTTCTAAAACAAACCCCTGCTGTTTTGTTTTATTTTGTTTTGTTTTGTTTTGGAGTTTGGGGTGGCTGTAAAATTTGCGTATGGATTCCCTGGTTACTAATTCTGACTGTTCATCTTTCCCATGGATGTCTGGCACATTCCACTTAAAATGCATGAGATTGCATGTGCTTTTCCTTTGCTGTGGCTTCTGCTATATCATTTTTTTGCTTCCAGATAGCGGTGGGTGTGCTCGCAAACGTGCCGCCATGTCTGTTACATTAACATCTGTGAAGAGAGTTCAAAGTTCTCCAAACCTATTGGCTGCAGGTATAATATCACTAACTCCCAGAATGTCACACTTGAATGGCTTTGTCTGACCTTTCTCTCTTTCCAGAATTATCTTGTTTGGATGAAGAAAGTGACTGTAAATACCTTGTGAATGTCCCACAAGTTCTTACATTTCTTGTCTCAAGAATAGCTCCTATCCCTCCTGACTGTTTTTGTTCTAAAAATAAAAAAGCCAAAGGAAACCGATATCTTGTAGAAAACATTTTAAAAATCTAATTAAAAACAACAGTGACTTGCCAAAAATGTGTTGGGTAACTGCAAGTGTTAATAACTATTTAAGCTTTTGTCTCTTATGAACTAAAGTAACAATATTTAATCAAGACAACTCATAGTTGCTTTTGTTATTGTTGTTGTTTTAAGCTAAAAACTATTGAGGGATGGGGACACAGGGGTCAGAGAGAGGGATTTGTAGGAAACTGAATATTTATTAATTCACTTTTTCGCCAAAGGTTGCAAACAGGATGATAATTTGTTTTGAAAGAGATCTTAAACCTTCCTTTAACCCAGTCAGCAAAGATCCTTCTCATACGTATTTTTAAACACCTTGGTGCAATTAAGATTAGCACCACATGTATACCTGGGTGCAACCACAGATACACATGTACTCTAGAAGGTAATTAGGAGCGTGATATTTCAGCAGATACCGAGGTGGGTATCTCTAATAAATGTCTGTGGGGACTTACCTAAGCTGGTGGGCACAGTCTGCTCTGAGAGGGGGCGTGGCTCTGGCAGCTCCACGTGAGCCTGACAACCTCAGGGACTCCAGACCCAGAAACAGACCTGCACCTCTTGCTGACTGATAGGTTTGTTTCTTGGTTGGTTACTTGGGATGGGGGGGAGGGAGAGGGGTTTCTTTGTTTTTTATTTCTATTTGTGGGGTTTTGGAGCAGAAGTGGAAAAGGGATGGAGAGTGTTTGAATAATTTTAATTGTCACTCTGCACGTCAGTATCTTGTACACACATACATGTAGTCGTTGATTAAATGCTCAAAATGTCCTTGGTCTGAAACTATCCCACGTTGTTGAGAAAGAACAAGCTTCCATCTGGAGAAACCCACTCCTGCCTACCACCTCCAATCCACAAATGGATTTCAATGTCCAAGTTTAAATAGCAGGCCAGGTGGTTCCAGAATATATTAAATTTTTTTTAAATGCAAGTTTCATTGCAATGTATGTAGTACCATTTTAGTTTAGTTAAAAAAAAATATTTCTCTCTCTCTCTCTCTCTCTCTCCCTCTCTCTCTCTCTCTCTCTCTCTCTCTCTCTCTCTCTCTATATATATATATATATATATATATACTAGTATGTATTTGTATTTGTACATATTTGCTCATGTGTATATGAGCATGAAAAGATGTTAGAAAAGCTACAAATGTGTTTACATGCGATACCTGAGGGAAATGGGAATAAAGGGAAATAAGAAAATAAATAAAATGAAGTCCAGAGCCATCAGGAAAGGGGAATGCCTATACCATGAATACCATTGACATTTCAGCCAAGTAAATTCTAGCCCATGCTACGCAGAGGTGGCCCACTGCCTGCAGCACCTGCTAGAGTGTGTGGCAATGCCGAGTCATCATTATCTACAAAAGTAACCACTAAAGGAATAAGTGACCGGATTAGAGATTGCCACTTCCACACTAGAATATCAGCAACTTCATATCACTAAACTTATAAGAAAATAATTAATGCTTCAGAATCAAAATAATAGCAAACATTTAAATATTTTAGGAATATGAAATAATATTCAGCAGTAAGTATGTAGTGGCTATGGGCCATTTTAAATTTTATACCATAAGGGAATAAGATTTCTAGAGAATGAAGCCCCCTGAATTTTGGACTTCATTGTTACATTAAAAATAGACCTCTTTTGTATTAAGACACATAGGTACGATCCCTTTCTAAAATTAGTTTTAATTCCATTTTGAAGAAAGAAATCATCCTCTTTGTAGGCCCTTCACTTTATGGTAGCCTTCAGAAGAACTAATTTGGCACAGTATCTTCTCGTGAATTAAAAGGGGATTAGCAAGTATTTATTGCATTAGATATTGTTAAAACCACATAGCCTTTAAGTAAAAGACTAACTACCTCCACAAAAGTTTCCCTCTCTCAGATGAAAAGCTGCTTATATTGATAAGCTGCTTGTCATCAACTATTAGTTGTCTAAGTCAGTCTTCCTCTTTCCCTTTTACAAGAAGTAGAATCCAATTGGATAATTCATAGACATATACGTGTTTTAAATCTAAGCTAGAACCAAAATGACAAATATAGAGAGACGATAAGCCTTTCGAAGTTCATTTTATTTTACCAAAACCACCTGGCAGTCTCAGGTAACACTGCTAAGGATGAAATGCAGTGGTGACCACTGCCCCAGGAAACAGCACCTGCACGTTTTACACCCTTGGGAAAATTTGTGTCTGTAACTCAACTCTCCTTTAGAAGAGCAAGAAGGAGGAGGAGGGGGAGGAGGAGGAGAAAGGAAGGGAGGAAGGGAGGAGAAGAAGAAGAATTTATTGTCTCCCTACCTCTCTGAGAAAATCATTTCCTAGACTCCCAAAGATTTGTCAAAATTAAATGAGGGTAAATGAAGAAAATAAATAAAAAGTCTTATCCCAGTACTTAGAAGCACTGTAGGCATTCAATTAGTTGACTTGAATTTAACTAATGGGTTTAAATTAATTCTTGCAAAGTAATTGAGCCATCTAACAGAAGAAGCTATAAAATTTAAAATCATCATAATTTTCAAGAAAAATATAGTTTATTATGTTTAATATACCACATCAGTTAAAAGGAATTTAAACGTTGGAATCATAAGTTGGAAAGGACCTCTGAGGGCATGCAGTCCAACCCCTGACACCAACCCTGCAATGAGCCTGGACAACCTCTCTGACAGTGTCCTCACCCCCCTTCTGCTGGGCACAGGAGTGCTTATGGTACCAGTGAAGAGAGGTTATGGCTCTTCATTCTCAAAGACCCTATTCACATCTGTCCCAGCTACTCATTCTTAAATTTTCAGAGATGCAATGACCACCTACTAAAGAACACTAGAAATTTAGAGCTCTGATCCCTAGAATTCTGGCTCTGTTTTTTCACAATGAATGATCATAAATAATATTGAAGATATTGGACAAAACCATCTTCCCTATGCATCTGCCAAGTCATTTACCAGCTCAATAGTTTTTTAAATTTATCTTTATTGTTGAAAGTATTACAGATGTCCCTGTTTTCTCCCATTGACCCCGCTCCCACCCCCTCCCCAGGCCTTCACCTCACTATTGTCCATGTCCATGGGTTATGCATATATGCATATAAGTTCTTTGCTTATTCTCTTCCTGCCCCCTTCCCTTCCCTCTAAGATTCATCAGTCTATTACATGCTTCCATGTCTCTGGATCTATTTTGTTCATCAGTTTATTTTGTTCATCAGATTCCACATATGAGTGATATTATGTGATACTTGTCTTTCTCTGAATGGCTTATTTTGCTTAACATAATACAGCTCAATAGGTTTTTTTTTAACATATATTCTCTTTATTTGACATGGATCCAGGATGCTTTCAAGCTTTCTGTCACCTGCTTCCAACCACGCTCATCCTCCCTTCCCTACCCTTTCCTGGCAGGAATGAAATAAAAGCAGGGCTGAGGTCCACAGTATCCATGTGGGAGCTATTTATCTTTCAGTGCCTCTGAAGAACTATAATAAAATAGAAAATCAGGACTGGGTGCTTTAAATATCATAATTGGATTTATTTTAAATAAACTGCAATGCTGTACACTTGAGTGTCCTTAAGAGACCACCCTCTTAGGTGTGGACTTTAATCATTAACATAAACTTCATTAAAATACAGGTTCATCCTAAAGTTTTAATCCTTGGCCATTTTTATTCTTTGTCCTTTCTCATACTTCTACACATTCATGTCTCCTATGTTGAGCAGGACTTTTTCAGCAGAGCTCACCCTGATCACTAGCTCCTATTTCCAGTAGCACAGGTACAATTTCATTTGGAAATCCCTGGGCAGTATTGGCGGGGGCGGGGGGGTGGGGGGAAGAGAGCCCCTGGATTCAGCTTAGAATGACCCTTCTCTGATTCTCACACTTACTGTCTATCCCACTCACCATTCCATAATCTCTAATGTGGTCGCCAGTAAGAAAAAGAACTGGCCCTCTACAAACTATCAGTTAGAGGAAGTTTATTTCAAAGTGTCCTTCAAATCTTCTCAATATGCCCTCCTCTGCCTCACCACGCCTATACCTCTTGCACCTCCAAGCATCAGGCTCCTATAACCTCCATCCCCAATACATACCCACACACCCTTCTTTATAAAAGCCCAGTTCTATCAAACCAGAGGAAAGTGAAATCCCTATTCTCAAGCATATAATTATAATACAGATGATTATTATTATTATCCATACTGCTCGTCTTCCCATTGCCATTTCTTCAAGTCCGAAAACTTGTTCCATATCCACAAACAGTGTGTGGTAACCAGGTGGTTATTAAATCTCTCTCCCTGACTGCCCACAGCAGAATTCTAATTGCTGCTCTGTGTGTTATACTGTTTTCTTTATAGAGACATCATTATCATTTAAGTGATTAAGAAGTTCAATCATTTCTGCTCCCATCAAATCCTAGAGATAGTCTAGTAAGCATTTCATATGTAACTGCTCGAAGTTATTTTCACTGTACGGTCCCCATTTATCACCCTGATTTGGAATTTACTGGAGTTACGATCCATACTAAATTAGCAAATATCCTTTTTAAAAAATGAAGATTTGTTAGTCTTCTCTTCCGCATTTGAGCTGGAGTCATTCTAACATACTCTGTGCTGGCTCATTTATTTCTCTTTCTTTGATTTGGAAAGAATCTACATCAAATATTTTATCTCAATTCAAACTCTCGCATTTCTCAACTAATTTTTATCATTCCTAATTCATGTGTTTAGATTTCAAAATAGCCATTTCCTAAGCATTAAAAAGAAAACAAAGAGTCCTTTTTACACGTAACATGCATGTTCTACTAGGCATTGAAATAACAGCAATTTAATAACGGTCTCGTGGGACATATAGAAGGGATCCAGGACCAGGACAGGGGTGAAGCTGGATGACCCCTAAAGTCCTTCCCAAGTTAAGGCTTTACGGTTCCAGGTGAAGTTGGCTGAGTGATATAATAGAACCAAGCAACACAAATCAGTTACCTCCAATGTCCGTAAGTTATAGAAGATTCTTATATGTGTGAGTCCAGTAGAACTAATAGTACATGTCATTGACCACTTCCCTCCTGCATTATCAAAGCGATTCCTCAGTACTGAAATTTGTTTTCCACAGCTTACTGCAACACAATGAACTACACTGTAACAGCTCTTTTATATTTGAATAGAATGTGACTTTAAGTGGCAATAAGAAGAAAATTCAAAGTCTAGAGAATGATTCGAAGTGTCACATAATATAGTAGACACATTTACACTTTCTCCAAATTATAAAAAAAAGCAAATCACAAAAAAATTTATTGCTGTCTCATACAGGAGTTGAATATGGAAATACCAGGGCATCAGAAGCTAAGGATCCGGAGGTTTGATTTAATGCTGGAGAAACACTTATTGTGTACAAGCCAGATACCCTTTGATGCTTTAATTTGATATTTAGAAATTCATACATTCTGTGTGGGCAATAATAAGATAAAATTACTGGTTGCCATAACACAGGGGAGGGAGGGATCAGTGCTTTATATATGTGTTAATTATAAATTATGGTTATATAATGAATGATATTCTAATTGAAGTAAAAAATTAATGTACAAACTTCTCATTGGTATATTTTATGTACCCAGAATTTTAGAACTGAGATATTGTTCCCCCCACCCCAAATGCATGTAGTTCTTTGACAAATGATCTTACTGAATTGTTCCTTTCCTTTACCTTCATAGTAATTTGAACATTTCTTTTTCTTTTAGGGCGTGATTCTCAGTCACCAGACTCAGGTACAAAAAAGCTCTTCTGAATAAGCATTCCATTTGCTTTTTTTTTTTTTTGCTTTTTAAATGTGGGGGTTTTAATTGATTTTAGAGGTGGGGAGAGGGAGAGAGAGAGAGAGAGAGAAACAGAAACATCATTGATTGGCTGCCTCCTGCACGCCCCCTCCTGGGGATTGAGCCCACAACCCAGGCATGTTGCTTGACCTGGAATTCGAACCCGTGACCTCTTGGTCCACTGGAGGACACTCAACCAACTAAGCCACACTGGCTAGGGCATTATGAGTTGTGTGTTTTTTTTAACATATTCATAACCACATTGTGAACCTCACAGTAAAGTTAACTTGCATGTACAGTTATGCATATTGAATTAAATTAAATTTCTGAAGAAAATTTCACATTTATTTTTATTTCAAAAAATGTTAAAAGTGAATGTAGATATGTTTGTATCCAATTTGTGTTCCCTTAATAAAAGCTTGGAGATCTTTCAATGACCAAAGTCAAGACACACTGAATGGAGATGCTACATATTCCTCTCTTGCAGCAAAAGGCTTTAGAAGCGTTCGACCAAACCTACAAGAAAAAAGGTCGCCCACTCAGGTACTCGTGCACACTCTTGCCTGTTGTGTTATTTTAAAGCAAGGCTGTTGGCCCTCTACTTTAGCATCACTTTTCTAGTAGTAGGTGCATATTTTGATACGTGTTTTATTTTTAATATGCTTTTGCTTTCGTATTTGTACTACTGGTCAGACTTGTATAGATAATATGGAAAACAAGTCTTAAGTTCAAAACAGGTTCTTTTTTTCATTCAGCTGATAAAAGCAGATCAGTTTCTAACATAATGTTTAGGTTATTTTCTGAATTATAAAACGTTATCAGCTGATGATTTAGACTTCAAAGTTATGAGTTAAGCAATCATACACTTATAAATGTGAGTTATGCGACTGTTAATTATATAAAAAGAATTCTGTGTTGGAGATATAAGCAAAATTGTGCTGCAGCATAAAAAGAGTTATCAAAACAATGTAACTAAATTGTGTGTGTGTGTGTGTGTGTTGTGTGTGTGCGCACGCGCTTCAAAGCCTAAAAGTATGCAAGAGAACGTATGTTCACTTTTAAGGTAATTTCCCAGGATGTCGATAGAGACAAACTTTATAATGTATTCTGTATAAAGACTATTTTCCCCTCGAAGGCAGCTTTAGATAATAAAACACATTCCTAATGGAATAAAATTGATCAATCTAGCCAACAAAATGTATAACATAATAAGAAGGTATGACATTGCTGTAGCCTCTTTAAGGATGGAGTTAACACTGGTTTCTTTAATGACTAACTTTGACTTTCTCTCTGTTTTTCTTTCAACATTATTTCTTCCTCCGGATGCTTTTGGCAATCCAGGCACCCCTTCCACCACTCAAAACAGAAAGCTTTTGTAGCCCCTTGACAACCAGTCACACAAAGGGTGACATTTTAGACCAACTAGTAACTAACACACACGTTCCTTCCTGTCCAGAGTACTTGACTAATAAAAAACTTCTTCAGGGAGCTATGCATTCTGATGAAGGCGACCCCAGCCAGACCATTGTATATTCCGAAGAATCTAACACCACTGTGTCCTACACACAGAAAATCACTAACCTGCTACCAGCAGCTTCCAGCACAGGTTCCCCACCCAGTGCTGACACGAGTAGCACCCCATTTCTACAAGAGGACTACATGCAAGATTCTCAAACACGGAGAATCTCTACACGGAAACTAATCCATAACCAGGATCTAGGAAGTAGCATCCCCTTTGATACCCCACCGTTTTCCAAACCTGTTGACCTACCATCATTCCCCAAAAGGCCCTGCTCACCGCCCCCTAACCCAGTGCCTGAGAAACACACAGCATCTCTCTCCATTCAGATAGCTCCCTTGTCAGGACAGGATCCCGAAAGCCACAAACAGCTACCTGAGCTTTCTCCAGAGACTACAAAGATACCTCTTCAGCAAGAGAGACAAAAACCTGCAGTGGCTGCGACCGCTCAGTCCTCAGACTGCCGGGTGATCCATTACACTTTCCAATCTCTTCTGACGGTGTCCTGCAGAGACCCTAACCCCTTCGCGCTGGGCTTCTTGCCTAACCTACTGCTTTGGTAGTGTCCAATCAGGAAGGGAAAGGAGAAAGAAACCATCCTCCCATGTATAACCCTATGAAATCCATCAATACATTTCTAGGTTTCTTTTTTTAAATATTTTTATTGATTTTAGAGAGGAAGGGAGAGGGAAAGAGAGGAAGAAACATCAATGATGAGAGAGAATCATTGATCAGCTGCCTTCTGCACACCCCACACTGGGGATCGAGCCCGCAACCCAGGCATATGTCCTTGACCAGGAATTGAACCCAGGACCCTTCAGTCCACAGGCCGACACTGTAGCCCCTGAGCCCAACCAGCTAGGGTGGTTTCTTTTAATTTGAAAAATATGTAATTATTCAGATATTTTATCCAGAAATCATGTTCTAAAAGTTTCTTCCTACTGATTTATTAGAAATCATCTATGGTCATTTATCATTTAAGACTCTGCAAACCACTTCGGTGCTCCAAGTACTTTATATTTTTTTTTATTGATTTCAGAGAGGAAGGTAGAAAGAGAGAAAGGTAGAAACCTCAATGATGAGAGAGGATCATTGATTGGCTGCTTCCTGCAACCCAGGCATGTGCCCGTGGCTGGGGCTGGAATCGAACCTGGGACCCTTCAGTCCACAGGCCAACGCTCTATCCACTGAGCCAAACCAGCTAGGGCACTCCAAGTACTTTTAAGTGTTAAAGAAATGTGTTTCGTGCCAGATCTTTTAGCACCAAAATTGTCTTGATTCACATTCACAAAATCTCTTCACTATTTACTCCCCTGATTCAGATGCCACACTCCCTCAATGTGCCCAAATCTGTGTGACCATTTTAGGTCCTTGTCACCCAGGTCTTGTGTAGAAACTCTAAGGCTATTAAGACTTTCATAAAAATAGTTTTTATTATAAGGTTATAGTGCAGCCTTGAATCGTGAAAGGCAGGTGGTACAGCCAGGCCTTAGGGGAACTGGAGAACATTAGCTATTCTCTCTCCACCTGACATGCCACATAGTTCCCATTGTCTCTCCTGTTTCTGAGTTGACCTCATTCTCATCTCTCAGCCTCTGCTCTCTCATTACTTCAAGTTGCCTGTGAATGTCCATGACATTCTCTGTGTCAACTTGCATCTGCGGTTCTGCGGCACAAAACTCCCCGACTGCGGCATTCAGTACATATAATTCAAATCCCCAAGGAGAGGCAGTGCCTCCCTGGCCCCGGTTAGTTCCGTTTTTCCGCCTCCTGACCAATAGCTGTGGCCGGTGAAATGGAGCCGCCTAAGTATACAAGTGGCTGCCGGACGTTTCCTCCTTTTCCCCAGAGAAGGGCTGTCACAGAGGACGTCCATTATCACAGAAGGAGATGGGGTAGGAGGGAAAGATTTTCTTTCACAAAAATGCTTAAATCATTTATTTTTAAATTACCATGGAAACTGTAAGTCCTAACAATGATATAGGTAATTCTATCATTATAAGTACCCATCACAAGGTGCCAGCAATTTTTATTATTTCACTTGTTTTCAACTGTTGACTCCAATTATCCTGGTAGTAAAGTCAGTATAAGATCCTTAAGTTTGTAAAAATGTTAGTACCTATATCTAACAGGTGAAGAGAAAAAATGAGGCAAATACCATTATGACACCTAATACAATACAAATAATTTCTTAGTATAAAGATTGATTTTTATATCACTCCTCCCTAGGTATTTTCTTTTTTTTAAATTTATTTGTATTGATTTCAAAGAGAAAGGGAGGGAGAGATAGAAACATCTTATGAGAGAGAAGCATTGATCGCCTTCCACCTGTACACCCCACACTAGGGATCAAGCCTAAAACCTGGACATTTGTCCTGACTGGGAATCAAACCATGACCTCCTGGTTCATTGGTTGACACTTAACCACTGAGCCACCATGGCTGGGCTAGGTATTTTCTTAAGTACATTACTGTCAACTGTATTGAAAAGGAGAACAAAACCCATCAATTCCCTTTGCTGGGTATTTAACATATTCTGTATGTTCCTTGAGAAGTGAGGCCTACAAGCTAAGCCATTACAGAGGTTAGAAGAGGGGTGTTAAGACTACAGAGCACAGTGCCATGTTAAGCCAATTGGAACCAGAGACAGAAAGAAAAACATGTCCCCATAATTATTTTTTTAGGTATTGTTAATTTTTTTCTAGAACATTTCAATAGTTTAAAAAATATTGAAAAGTAGAAAAGTAAGTGCTTTAAAACTGAACATTGTTTTAAGTTTAAACATTTTATAATCGAATTTATCATTTTACTTCATTTTAAATTAGTTTAAAAATATGTAACATCATCACTGGTCATGGTGAAATTATCAAACATGGCTATTCTCTCAATTGAAAATAAGATCAGGAAGATACAGATTTTGAAAATATTATTGTATTATAATATTACTAGAGGCCTGGTGCACGGATTCGTGCACCGGTGGGGTCCCGTGGCTTGGTCTGCACCCTCTAACAATCCGGGACCCCTTGGGGGATGTCAGAGAGCCAGTTTCAGCCCGATCCCCGCAGGCCAGGCCAAGGGACCCCACCAGTGCATGAATCCGTGCACCAGGCCTCTAGTATGCATATAAGATCTTTGGTTGATCTCTTCCCACCCTTTCCCCTCCCCCCTTTTCTCTGAGATTCATCAGTCTGTTCCATGTTTCCATGCCTATGGTTTCTGCTCCTACATTGAGTGTCTGACCCCTGGTGGTCAGTGCGCATTATAGCTACCAGACAGTCAACTAGTCTGCCAGTCAGCTGGTCACTTAGGCATAGATAGATAGATAGATAGATAGATAGATAGATAGATAGATAGATAGATTGCTTTCATTAAAAATCCAGGATACAGACTTTTCTTTCCTTCAATCTTTAATATGGCTTGATATGGCACTGGTCATTATTTAAATTTTGTTCAGTATGACTTTTGGGGGGCACTGATTTTTATTTTGTTCTAAGAGTGCATTTTTCTAAGATTGCATGCTTCCCTTTTCCAGTGAGTTTTTGTTACTCCATTCAATTTTGCACCCAGGATAAGTGCCTCACTCATCTCACCCTCTGCCTTTATATCTCTGGCTCAACGAAGTGATGGCCTGGGGGCTTATGACTACACATCTAGTTTGTTTGGTTGCCACTGAATTAATTTTACTTTGGCTTCAGGAGGACCGTGCTCTCTCCATTCCACCACAGTTCCTATCCCCTCTGTCCAACACTTGGCCTGCACATTCTGAATCCATCCCAGGCCCAAGGCAGGCACCTGAGTTTGCAATGCCTACGTCCAACCCAACATGCTTTTTCCACTGATGAAGCTCACACTTCCTGAGTTCCCTGACTCCCAAATTCCTCGAGGGGTTCAGCCTAAACTTAGTGATCCCTTTCATCCACAGGTTCTCCTTAGCGTTCTGGATTGAATTCCGTTGGACGAAGAGGCTCAATGTGGTCTTGAAAACTAGGTGCTCTCTCTTAGAGCATTCGTATGTTGAGGCTTAA